TTGTAAACTAAAGCTGTAGCTCTTACTATTATATTGCCTTTCTAATTATTATTATTGTCATTATTATTAATTGCTATTATATGGGAATTGGTCATGCTTGGAAGGTACTACATTATAATTTTGAAGCTTAATTCAGTGGGTTTAGTTCTGTCTCTTAAGTACAAGGTGTCGGAGTACAGCCATTGAGTGTTAGACAGCTACAGACTTTTGTCCTTTTGTTGGAATGTAGAGCCTGTATGTTTCTTCAGTCTCTTCTGAGTGGACAGTATATCTAAGTTGTAGGAGTGCAATAAAGGCACACCATCTTTTTGCTGTGGTGGATGTCCTTGAGCTACAGTTTATCCTCAAAAAAAAAAACCAAACAAACCCAACTCTCCAAGCTAGTGTAAAACAAAACACACAGAACAAGCGATGTTGAGATCTGTGTAGGATGAAAGCAGATGAGAGGTTATTTATTTTCCTTAAAATGCAGGAAGTTTCTGTTTATGCAGTTTTGTGCAGTCATAAAATACAATTACCCACTTGAGATATATCTCTTCAGTAATGTGTGTTCTTGTACACAGGCACAAATACTATTCTGTGCATATAGTAGTGATTCATGGTGGTGACAGCAAAGATATGTACCCATTACAAGAGTATTCTGATACAATGAATATGCACCTCACTGTTTGTGGAGCATCACTTCCCAGCAGCTAGTATCTCAGCCTTATGTCAGTGAGTCCCAGTAACATTTAGGAATTGACTCATCAGACCACTTTTGACTTGTGAGACTTTTGACTTGCCTGTTACCCATATTGGTACTAACTCTGGCATCAAATTTCAGCAATTGATACAGATAATAATGATTCAGATACGTGGCCTGATGCTAAGGGTTGTTCAGAGTCCTACAGGCTGTTAAACTGAGAACAAACCCTTGTTAGTACGGTCACAAGTGATGCAGCAACTGCGTACAGGAATATCCATTATTTCCTTTAGGACTAAAATCAGCATCAAAGCTGCTTTTTTGTTCTGACTGAGGCTGTGTAATAGAATCATAGAATCACAAAATCATAGAATGGTTTTGATTGAAGGGACTTTAAGTGTTATCTAGTTCCAGCCTTCCTGCCTTGAGCAGAGACTCTGTCCGATAGACCAAATTACTCAAAGCCTCATTCATCTGGCTTTGTGCACTTCCAGCATTTGGGGCATCTACAAGTTCTCTGGGCAACATATTCCAGTGCCTTACCACCCTCACTGTGGAGAATTTCTCCTTATATCTAACTTTAATCTGCCCTCTTTTAGTTTAAAGCCACTATCCCTTGTTCTATCACTACATTCCCTAACAAAGAGATTTTTTTTGCAGGCCCCAGCTTTTTCGTAGGCCTCCTTTAGGTACTGCAATTCTGCTATTATTCTTCCTAGAACATTCTGTTCTCCAGGCTAAAGAAACCCAACTGTGTCAGCCAGTTTTCATAGGAGAGGTGCTTCAGCCCTCCAATCATTCCTGTGGCCTCTGCACTCACTCCAACAGCTCTATGTCTTTCTTATGCTGTAGGCCCCAGACCTGGATGCAGTTACTCCAGCTGGGGTTCCATGAGAGTGGAGTAATGTGCTGATCACAATTCTTTTGATTCAGCTTTGGATATGGTTGGCTTTCTGGGCTGAAAGCACACATTGCTGGATCATGTTGAGCTTCATATCAACCATCACCACTAAGTCATTCTCTAAATCCACTCATCGCCTAGCCTGTATTTGTGCAGTGCCTTTTACTCGGCCTTATTGAACTTCATGAGATTCCCACATGCCCACCTCTGAAGCATGTCAAGGTCCCTGTGAATGACATCCCTTCCCTCCAGCAGGTCAACTGCACTACTCAGCTTTGATATCCATGACAAATAGGTGGTGATGAGACACTGGAACAGGTTTCGCAAGAAGGTTATGGGTGCCGCATCCCTGGAGGTATTCAAGGCAAGACTAGATGTGGCTCTGGGCAGCCTGGTCTAGTGGTTGGCAACTCTGCAGATAGCAAGGGGGTTGAAACTAGATGATCTCTTAGGGCCTTTTCAACTCAAGCCATTCTATGGTTCTGTGATGATTCTATGAAATTTTTTGAGATTGTACTTGATTCAGCTGTCATGTTACAGACTGCTGGTCCCAATACTGACCCCTGAGAAATGCTGCTTGTCTCTGATCTCCACTTAGATGTCAAACTATAGGCTACAACTTTCTGAGTGCAACCATCCAGCCTATTTCTTATCCACCAAGCAGTCTGTCTGTCAAACCTTTGTCTCCTCGATTTAGAGACAAGGATGTCATACAGTCTGTGTTCAGGTAACTGACCTCAGTTGATCTTCCCTTTTCCAACAACACTGTAACTCCACATTTGTGAGGCACAGTTTGCCCTTAGTGGAGCCGTGTTGTCAGTCATCAATCACCTCTCTATTTTCATCATGCTTTAGCATTGTTTTGAGGAGGATCTACTGTCTTGCTGGTTGTAGAGGTGAGGCTAATTGGACTGTAGTTCCCTGGGGCCTTCTTTTTTGTGCTTGTAAAAACTGAGATTGTTTCCCCTTTCCCAGTCAGTAAGGGCTTCACTGGACTGCCACAACTCAAAAATGGTGGATAGTGGCTTAGCAACTCCATTCACGAGTTCCCTCAGGACCCTCAAATGTATCTTATCAGTTCACATGGACTTAGGAACATTCAGCTTCTTTAGATGGTCTTGAAATTGATTGTCTTCTGTAGTGAATGGTTCTTCATTCTTCCAGTCACTACCTTTACCTTCTGCAACTTGGGCTGTGTGACTCCTTATGTCACCAGAGGAGTATGCTGGTCTGTGGACAGAGAAGTTCTATCTGCTGTGGCACAAGTAACAGACTGTAGTCCACAGTGAATGATGTGTGGGTGACCTCAGCAGTCCTAGGATGCTTCAGCTCTTTGAGATGTCCATGAGAAAGCTTCCACATGTATGTTTTAAGAATCTTTATTCACAGTTGTGCCTATGATAGATATGAGACCAGACTTTTCCGTGGGACAGATTGACATCACTTAAGCTTGAATTGCCTTTTTAGACAGAAGACAGCATGGAGATTAGTATTCCAGTGCTAGTATATTTAACTTAGGGTTAGTCAAACCAATTCATATTTAATTTGTGATAAACCAACTTGTTTTAACTGAATGTTTTGATACTGTACTTAAACAAAACATAAAAGATTCTTCCTGAAAGGGAGATACTGTTGTATCAACTGAACAGTGATGAGTATGACCGTGATGCTATTTTTCTCCATAGATGGACTCTTTGAACGGTAGATAGATTTTTTTTTTTCTTTTTGTAAAAAATTCTCCTTTCATTCCTGGTTCCACTTACATCTTTAAGATAAAATATACAAGTGCTTTGTGGCAACAAAAAAGATCTGTCAGTATTTCTTAGCTTTACTTTGATTTTCTCAAGATTTTTGTTTTCTAACACTCTAAAAGCTTATTTTTGGAGTTCAGTGGCTTGTATCCAGTGCTCCTTGAACATTTAATGTTAAATAACCAAATTTTCTGCATTCTGTATTCTTACAGATAAAAATTTTAAATATGGGATCTTTGTTGCTCAATCATTTTTGATGTTCATTTGTAAAACCAAGACAGTTTGCCGAAGTTGTTCAATTGAAGGTGAAATTTCACAACTTAATGAAATGTTCTCCCTCAATATAAGAATTGCTCCTAAAATAATGCCTCCTATTTTATTATCTTGGCCCATATTATTGGAAGTGGATATTGGTGGTGTGACAGTGGAAATTGAACCTTTTCACCAATATTCTGTTATATTTTTTGCCACCTGGAAGATGGCAGTAGAGGGGCAGTATGACAAAATGTTGTCTCACATGGAAGCATGTATGGAGCTTAGATGTGTCATTCCTCCATGCAAGAAAAATGTCTCCCACTGACATTCATCAATGCTTGCTGAACATTTCTAGGGACCATGCAGTGGATGTGAGTGCAGTGAAAGTTGGTCTGGATGGGCAACATTTTCATACCAATGATGTTATTGTAATGGCTGTGAAACAGTGGTCATCTCCATCAGTGCAGATATTTATGAGTGCATCATGCGTTCTCTTGTTCATGGCTGGTGAAAGCACATAGAATGGTGGTGACTATGTTGAAAACTACTGTGTTGTATGTGGCAATTTGTTCTTGTGCTATTGCTCTCTTTGTATCTATTGTAGTTTCCATGGGCATAAATAGGAGGCAGTACTTTCAGAGTGATGCATGTGCTGAATGTTTGTTTGTAGGTCTGTGAAACTAAAGTTTCATGTTAAGATTTTTTTTTTTTATGTTGGTGAGACTAGTGGGGAAATTTCTTTTTCAAATTTTGCAGTCTGTCTCTGTTTAACATTTGTATTGTTACTGTATGATGACAGGATGAATAAGAAATACTGTACTTCTGTGAAATGTGCAACTTGCCTAATTTGATTTTATACTTCAAACTAGTCTCTATCTTATGAGGTTAACATTTCCACCTTTCTTTATTCTATTTCTTCCTTGACCACCTTTGGCCAAGGGAGGAGTCCATGTTTGTATAGTCTGATGCTGTGAACATGCTTTTTGTAAGTTAATTTTATAAATAACCAAATTTAGTGCATTTTACAGTACAGTACTGAAGCAAACTGGACGGAATGCTTTTTAATGACTGTATAGTCATTTGATGATTTTTATACTTGCCATTTGAAGACAGTTTGGATATAGATTGATACAGAATTACTTTAAGTACTGCATATAAATTAAACATTAAGAAGGTAGATACAGACAGACTAAGCAGCTCAATTATAATCTTTGGTTATGCAGTTAATGCCTCAAGGACACTCCATCCATTTCATATCATATGTCCTTCTTTTGAAAGATGATCACCGGGTTCAAGTAACATTTCAGCATGGCAGGAAATTGCATAATTTATAGACTTTAAAAATGAAAAACAGAAAACTGCTTTCCATAAATTAAATCTCCCTCTCCTTTTTTCATCTCTCCCCTTACAGATTGGAACACTGAAGGATTACTACCACTTTTACCATAGTAAAACAATTAAAAGGTCAGTTCTCTCAAGTAGAGGTACCCACAGCTTCATTTCAATGGAACCAAAGGTAAGAATATCCACCAATGTGTTGGAGGCAAAAGCTTTTGCATATTTTATATGAAATATCATACCATGAGATGCTTACCTGAATGGTATATAGCATTACAAGAACTGACATATAATCTGTTTTCTAAGGTTCTGCTTCCAATTAAAATGTAGTGAAGACAATACCATGCTATCAAGAGTGTGCTATTCTTGGATGATAATGGCCAGTATATTCATGGAGCAGTATAGGAATTTTCTTAAAACTGTGCTTTGCTTTTTGCAGAAGTACATATGTAACTCTATGAACCAATTTGAAGATGAGCAATATAGGATGGTGTCAATGCTTAGAAGAAAGTTTGTCATTTTTTTCCTGCTCTTTTTCTTCAGTATGAGGGGTTAATATAAGAAAAATCTTTTCTGTGGTCTTTTTCATTAGTTCCCATCATAATTTTAAGATCTGCTTGATTTATTTAAAAAATAATAAAAGTAAAGGACTGTTTGACTGCTGTATTTATATGTTCCTGTGAGTGCCAAGACTGACTCATCCTTCCAACAGCACTGCACTTACAAAACAGGTGATGCTGCAAAAGGAAGGGAAAATGTTCACATTTTCATCAGCCCATACTGTTTCCTATGATCCCAAAGATTCAGCGGTTTACATACATACAGGTTCACATGCATGTACCACCACAACTTTTTGCTCTTACACCCCTCTGTGCCAATGGCATCTGACCCTGTTTACTGTGGCCAAAACTGAGAGGAATTCTGTGGCACAGAGCAGCACAGAAATATAGCCATAATTCATTTTCCAGCATGTTCCATGCATCAGCATTTAGATCTTGTCCCATATGCTGTATTCTGTGCTGCCGCATGTACAGGAGTTTTACTGTCCAGTTCCTGAATTGTTGTTAAATATCACTGCAATACTAAAAAACTCTGCAATACTGAGGGCTGTGCAGGGTAGTCAGCCCTGTAAATGATTCTATATCCAAAAAGAAGCTGACAGTCTAATACTATGATCTAGTAACATGTTTGGTATTCACCTCTTCATTGCTCTACTGAATTCGCGCTTGGAAATTATTGTGCAGCTGTAGACATGTCAAAATATGGACATGTATTTGTAGACCTAGAGCCAGTTTGTGCATATAACATTTCAGGATTATTGAAGTGGACTGGAAATTCAATTATATTGTATAAGCTGGACCTTTTAAAAACAAAATATTTAATCTTAAAAAAGGCACATCACATGGCTTTGAGAATGTTAAAAGACTGGTATTGTACACCATTATATTTATGATTGTCACTGTATCTAATGCCAATATTTGCGGCAGATTAGATGGCATGTGTATTTGTGAATAAGGAAACACTATCGTTTGTGTACTTTCCAAATCATTTAATGATAGTTTACTTAATGCTTAAAATCCTCTCCGTGTAATATGTACACACAATTGCTTGCTCTGTGCTTGCTTTAGATGTGAGTCACTAATTTGCTGCTTTATGAAATTTCAAATGATGGAATTTTTATTGAGGGGAAATTCCTTGTTTGAGTTACCTGTAGTAGTGGAAGCATTTTGATATTTGGCTTTTCTTACTACTTATGTGGATTGTGTTTGATTTCACTGTCTGGCCATAAGAGGGAAGATAAAAAGGTATATAGGATATACTGGTAATATATACAGGTAATGTAAAATGCTGCTGTTACAGATTTCATTTAATGAATTGATTTGATGATCTTTGGCTTGATCTTTCTTCTAGAAAGGAATCTTGACACTATTATAAACTGTATGAATATGTCCAACAGGGAACATAAACAGAAGGTGTGTATATTACACATTTTGTCAATTGTCTCAGCATTAAATGAACATTACTTTGCATTTAGATGAAAAGATAAAGGATGTGCAGTGTAACATGATTTTGACTGCTATCATACACATCTTTGCCTAGAAATACTGTAGGTTGTCACTCGGAGGTGAAACCACACATTTAAGAAGAAGTGTATTAGTGAGGTTTTGATGTTCATAACATATATCATCATGTAGAAAATTTAAAACATAACTATCTCCTTTTCTATTCTTGGGTATAATTGAATGGTGTTTTCTACATGTTTTTAGAAAAGCATAGAGTAGTCAGTGTCAGGACAAAGATTAGTACTGTTTGTCAAAGCTAAGCTAAGCACTACTACGGAGGATTCTGGTCTCTCCAGCTGATGTGATATGTGTGCTTGGCCTTTGGCAGGGGTCACTGAAAGCACCATGCAATGAATTGAGAGCCTTTTTTAGCTCCATGGAGTTTGCTCAGTAATGTTATTTTGGTTATTTTTGAAACAAAGGGACAGGAATGAAACGGAATGGAGAAGACAGACAGAGCCGATGCATAACTGAAAAGTATCATGAAGCTCTAATTCAGATCTGGAATAGATGAGTTTATTGCTGGCAGACTCTCTTCTGGAATCAAACTAATTGAGCATTTCCAAGGGAAGGAATGAAAAAAACCTCTGGGTTTGCACTAGTGGTGAAGTAATGATACACTAAGTGAAATGGAGGTATGAAAGTAGGATTGCAACCTTGCTGTGTAAGTCAAGCTTTATATCAATACAGAGCACATAGAAACTCCAGTGGAGTTTTTCTGTCACTGAAGAAATTACAGTTCTGATGAAATATTATAGCTGAAGCACCTTGCACATAACGATAATATGTGGAAGTTAAATGGACAGTATACATGTGAAGGCTGTCTTTTCATACAAAAACTATTATGTGAGATGAAGAGTTTGTAGTGAAGGGCTGTGATAATAAAATTTGTGACTTGTATGAAGGAAAATGTCCCACAGAATCAAGTGTTATGAACGGCAAAGCAATAATCCTAGAGAAATAAAATTTTAAAGTGAAGATCAATAAAATGTTTAAACCTATATAGATACAAACTTAAGTTTTTTCCATTTTGCTTATGAGGTTCCCACAATGCTTTGCATCGTAACAGAAATCTAACAAAAAATGTGCAGAATAAGAATGCTGCAAAGTCTAAAAATAATAATTTGACTTCTAGTAAAATACCACATTTACTAGTAGGGAAATCATTTCACAGAATTTGTGTTTGTCAGTATGAACCAAGATGACATCTTACTTTTTTAAAAAAAAATTTATTTCAGGTAGGTTTATTTTGAGTTTGAACTCCTAGCTGCTGATGCAGATTCCCTCATCCTTTGAAAGTGAAGGATGTCCAGTCTCACTTTCATTGAGAATAAGCATTTCAATAAGCAGTAAAGCTACCTAATTTCAGTTACTGTGGCTGAAATGTGTTGTGCAGAAGTGTCATGCCTTTGTCACCTCTGCTCCATGATCAGAGTACCTGGTGGAAACATTGCTGCAGATACCTACATTTCACCTGGTCTCGCCTAGCCGTACACAAAGCAGTTCTGTATGACCTGGTGGCACAAAGCTTTTAGAGTGTTCTACCTCTGCCATCATGAGCTCAGTAGGATTGGTGGCAGCAGCACATAAAACATTAGCAGGCATATCTCTGTGGAGCCTACAACAAGCTGTCTGGGCAGCCCTCAGAAGATAAACAGTAATAGCAGAATCCTTCCCCTGATACTGGTAGAATATTGTGGGTATTCGTGAAAGGGCAGAAGGGAGCACAGTGGGAGAAGCCAGGAGTAAATGTTTCACCATGTGGCTGTGTAGCAGGGGTTGTGCCAGTTCACTCTGCTAAATAATACCCTGATTTGGTGCAGGAGATTGATGGTTAAAGAGGTGGAGAAAGGATGGATTTAATCACAAGGTTATGGTCTTGTTTTGGTAAAGAATATGCCACTGCTTGTGGAGCCTGTCTTGGACAGCAACACATTTGATCACTGGATTAGAATGTTTATTGCAAATAGAGAAGAGGGTCAAAATTTTCAATGTGCATCATCAAATTGTGTTTTCTAATCACAGAATCGCCAGGGTTGGAATGGACTCAAGGATCATGAATCTCCAGCCCCCCTGCCACATTCAGGGCCACCAACCTCCTCATTTAAAGCTAGACCAGGCTGCCCAGGGCCCCATCCAATCTGGCCTTGAACACCTCCAGGGATGGGGCATCCACAACCTCTCTGGGCAGCCTGTTCCAGTACCTCACCGTTCACATCAGGTTCACCCGTGCCCACCTTTCTAGCCTCTTGAGGTCCCTCTGAATGGGACCTTCCTTCAATCATATCAACTGCTCCACTCAGCTTGGTGTTGTCAGCAAACTTGCTGAGGGTGCACTCGATTCCATCATCGATGTCATTGATAAAGATGTTAAAGAGCACCGGTCCCAAGACAGACCCCTGGGGGACGCCACTCGTTACCGGCCTCTACCTGGACATGGAGCCATTGATGACCACCCTCTGTCTGCGGCCTTTTAACCAGTTTCTTTTGTATCAAGTGGTCCACCCATGAAATCTACATCCCTCCAGTTTGGAGATAAGGATGTGGTGGGGGACCATGTCAGAGGCCTTGCTCAAGTCCAGGTAAAGACATCGGTCGCCTTTCCCTTGTCCACCGATGCCGTCACTCCATCATAAAAGGCCACCCGATTGGTCAAGCGTGACCTTCCTCTGGTGAAGCCGTGCTGTCTGTCACGGATCACACGCCCTTTCAAAAATAGTTCAGCTATAAGGGATGTTTAAAGATTATCTAGTGCAACTACCTGACCTCTTCAGGCCAGCCATGTCTAGGGAATAGCAACCTAAAATGAGGTGTTCCTTTTCAGCATATGGGACATATTTGGCCTGTGGATGATGCAAACCCATCTCAAAGTTAAACATTATGTGGCAGAAACCTAAAGATGAAAGGCTTAATCCAGAGTACATTCACATAGTATCAAGTGAATGTACTGCATATGTGACTGTCCCCATGCACTGTCCAAGCCAAATCCATTGCTGTTCTAACAGGAGTTCATGGTTCTTCAATTAGAAAATTTGGTTGAGTAATAATGATTTATCTTTACTTATCTGCAATAAGAAGAATTATTTAATGAAGTTAATCGTAATGTTAAAGGGAT